ATGCAAACCAATCACAAAAACAATTGCTGGTTGATAAAATCACTTTGGAAAAAAATGTACAAAATTGTCAACGTGATATTACGGCCGGTAGTACAATTTATATATTGAAAATAAAAATTGATATTGATAAAAGCACTGTAAAGACAATGCACTTATAATTAACCTATAACTATTGCATATAATTAGTAGGAATCATGTTGCACCCTTGGAGCAAGACTGCTACAACTCAAGTTCTGAGGAAATACAACTTAAAGATAGAACCTGCTCCCAAATGGTTAATTTTAATTTTTAAAGCTTTAATTTCAATTATTTTTGGTATCCGGTGCTTGTTATTTTATTTTCAAGGCATTTAGTCAGATCTCAGCCAGACACCCTAATTTGAGGTTATGGCTATTTAGCAATAGGTTTTAACAAACCAAACTGCCAAATTTGTTTGTTATGCCAGTTTACCATTTTAAATATTTTATAAGCCGTAATGAGAAACATGGCAATTTTGTTTTTCTTTTTAAATTAATATATTGCTACAAGACAAAATGTGACAGTTTGATATTATTTCACCAGTGTTATCCGATAGAGAATTAGGTATTATTATATTAAAAGTTAAAACGCCTCAAATCGAAATGATAAAGTCTTGATTTATCATGCCTAAGTATAAAAAACTGTAGCAGTATTATAGTTTTTTTTTAACCGAACAAAACAAGAAATTTATTACAGAACCGTTGGTCAGGTTAAACGTCAATCCATGCCTGGCCGTACACGAGGGTATTTAACCCTTTTTTTTCATCTACATATTAAATTATGATAAAGACAATTTTGATATGATTTACCATTACATAAAAAAAGGAAATGTAGATAATAAATTTTACAATTTGCACGTTGGGAACTAAAGGAACTTTTTAGACCCTTAGGAAAATTGTTATGCCTTTTCGGTCGTTATTTTGCTAAATTGGTTTCTTATGACTACATTTTGCGCATCGATAAAGAAAACAAAATGATAAATCGCTGTAAAGCAAACACCCAATATTAATACACGTGTACCTTCGAGTATATTACAAAAACCTGTTGTTCTACTATTTTCGATAAATCAAAATACACTAGAAGATTAATTGATTCATTAAGGACTTCACTTAAAATAATAGCATTTTTGTAGCTTTTATAATAATTGGAGACACTTAAGTTGGTGTTATTATACAATATTATAAAACTATTACTAAACATTTACCTTTTCTATTTTTTTTTTCAACGCACAGTATTTTTACAAAAGCGTAGTGCCATCAGAAAAAATTATATTTCACTCCACCCTTCCTCCCGTCCTAAATTTTAATGTTTAATAACTCCCAAAGTAATTAGCCAAAACTGGTTATCGACCCGTATACTATTCAGAAAATTATTATTAGTTTAAATAGTAAATTAAATATGTACACAAGTTACTATTTAAGTTTTTAAAAGTTGATAGGCTTGTTGAAAATAATAGAAAAAAAAAGGTTATTGTTTAGTATTTTTATAATATTGTAGAATATGATAACCAAAAATGTTTTAAAAAAAAAAAAAACTACAAAATTGCAATTATTCTAAAGCGTACTCATTCCATCTTTTAACTATGACGAAAACATTCGATTTGACTTCAATAATTACATTACATTTTGACTGGTCGATAACCCGTTTCGGATAACTTTTTTTTAAAGTTATAAGAGTTTTAAAGTTAAGATGGGAGAAGGAGTGCGGTTGAGAAATGCGCGCAGATAAAAATAATACTACAGTCCACCGTTCCTCCTACCCTAAACTTGAAACTTCAATAACTTCAAAAATAGTTATCCGAAACTGGTTATCGACCAGTCAAAATTTAAAGTCCATTGTTCTCAATTAAAAAGTTAATAAAATATATACGTTACCATTTAAGTTTTAATAGTTGCTCTCAAAAAACTAATTTGGGAGGGGGTAAAAACAAAAAAAATTGTGAAAAATTGAGATCACATTGTATAAAAACAGAGTTGAAAAGATATCGTGGGTGCAGTTACAAAAAAATAAATAATAACACATCGTTGCAAATATAATACCTCTTTTAGGTGGAATAATTTTCATTTTCGTCCTTTCGGAAAATTACAGTACATATTTACTAACTGAATTTTTAGAAATTTATTTTTCTCTGTACTGGGAAAATAAGAGTGGATTTTTTATTAGTTATAACAAAGGGCAAATGATATGATAGCCTATAAAAAAAAAGTGTCCTCAGTAATATTATTCTAATAACTGTACAAAATGATTTGTTTATTTATGGCGAAAAAATGATAAAGCGTTGTGTTGAGGCTATAACAGGTAATGGAGCGCAATTCTATGCCGGTTATCGCCAATGATACAGATGCCCTCTTATCTTGGTTGTCGCGGCCGTCCACACCACTCCGCCCTACTCCGCACGATCTATACTGGCAATACTACCGGTCAGCTGTTCACACACACACACACACACACACATATACGCACCGGGTTATACTATGTAAACAAATGTGCCACGCCCGTATTATCAGTGTTAGTAGTGCACTTGTTGCTTTCTTGTGAATTTAAAGTATATAATATTAATCTAGACTTTTTTGTGTGTTTTTCTTCAGTGTTTTTTAGTTTTAAGTGTTATTATAGTATTTTTAAGCCATAAGGGCACTGTGATTTTTTATTATTATTGTCTTAAGGACAAAAGATTGTTTATTATTGTATTTTTAAGCCATAAGGGCACTGTGATTTTTTATTATCATTGTCTTAAGGACAAAAGATTGTTTATTATTGTATTTTTAAGCCATAAGGGCATTATTGAGTTGTCATAAGGACAAAAAACTATTTTAATATTTGTTTTTTTTTTGTTGTTCACTTTACTTTGTGTCTAGTATTATTTAGGTTTAGGTAGCAGCCCTGGCCAGCGGTTTGCAGTTCTTCGGTTTGTGAGTACTTTTTATTTATACCATATTTTATTGAGTTTGTTTTATTTGTATTTTAGTTAACTACTGTGAATTATTAGAACATATTTTGATCTCATTTACTAAATACGAGTTAGGGCGATAGACATAAGGTTAATCGTACCATCTATATTGCTAGTTAGCCATAAGGGTTCAATCTAGTCAATAATCAATATTTGTATTTGTGAATAATTTTTGTTGTTCTAATAACCACCTTAGTTATCAAAATACTTTTAACGTCATAAGCTTTAAGCACTCACTTAACTTTACCTTTTAATCTAGTCATTACTATATTAATTATTTATTTGTGTTTGTGAATTATTATTCACAGACCAGATTAATTTATTATTGTGCCAAAAGGGCAATTAATTCCTTTTAGTTTACCAATCTTTTTTTTTATACTAATTATTTATTTGTGTTTGTGAATTTTATTCACAATTGTATCTTGAGCCAAAAGGGCTAATTATTTATTTATTACCACTTATTATAGCATTTTATTGAATATTATTATTATTATTATTATCATCGAGTTTGAGTTTTATTTATTTAGTTTTTAGTTATAGTTTTAAGTTTCCTACACATTCACACTATACACACTAAACACACTTTTGCACCACATAGCTCACTGGTCTTGCGTAGGCGATCCCTCACACTTCCAGTGAGACTATTTACCCCACTACCCACACAGCACTGATCGGTAAGTGTAAAGCAATTGGTAACCGGGTAAGTGGCCTATTATTGTCCGCCCCCGGCCCGTTCACGTTGAAATTTGAGCGGTATATTGTTAAAAGATGAACCTTTTTTATAATCAGTAACTAAAAAAAATGTAACAGATATGCATACAGATATGATTGATTAGCTAATATAATGAGTAAAAACACTAAAAAGTTGGTTTGACTAAAAATAATAATAAGTGGGTAGTTATTGACATTATTTGCATTTTTTTGGGTTTAACCGCAAATCAAATAATTAGCGTAAATATATTGTCAGCTTATACAAATTATAATTATGTTATTTGTATATTTCATAGAATTAAAATATTATGTATTTGATAACTGTAATACGACAGAAATTATGAGAACGAAATGGAATAATATAACTCTATAAGCGATAATACGTTTCAGATTATAATTTATAATATGAACGCCATTGTTTCGGTTAGGTCAATATGGATTTGTTCTCAAAAATTGTAAATTATTTTAACAAACTTCTAAAACAATACTAATCAATATAAAAAATACACTAAAGTGTGTTATTGAAGTGCAATACGTCAAGGTTAAACAAAATAACGAATAATTACCCAGAGAATGTATAGCACTAGTTACTAATGTATGACAATGTATAGCTGATATTTTACTACACATTTAAAATACATATTGAAACCCAGAGATTTATAGTTATAATATTCAATGGCATGGCAAATGCAATGGCAAAAAAATAAATTATAACACATCGTTGCAAATATAATTCCTCTTTAAGGTGGAATAATTTTCATTTTCGTCCTTTCGGAAAATTACAATACATATTTACCAACTGAATTTTTAGAAATTTATTTTTCTCTGTACTGGGAAAATAAGAGTGAATTTTTTATCAGTATTAGCAAAGGGCAAATGCTATGATAGTCTATAAAAATAAAGTGTCCTCAGTAATATTATTCTAATAATTGTTATTTTTTTATTTATGGCGAAAAAATGATAAAGCGTTTGAGCGGTATATAGTTCAAAGATGAACCTTTTTTATAATCAGTAACTAAAAAAAATGTAACAGATATGCCAATTTTCTGTAAAATTTAAGAAAAAACACTTATAAACCTTGCTAAAAACATCGGTATGTTAGTATGGTTTTTACTACAACAGATACACTCGTGTACTTATTTACATATTTGTGCAAATATACAATTTACATAATAATGCTAAGTCTAAAAAATTCAGTAGATATCATATTTTATACACTTATATACTCGTAGAATTTTTTTTTTATATTCTTTATAAAACTGGCGTTTAAAGACAGTGAAATTCATTCGTTTTGTCTCGCAGTTTAACTTTAGATATTACACTACAGACTAGCACAATGTTTTTAAAGTTCTCTCTTTCGTTTCTATTGCTTATCCTAGCGGTTAGCTGTATGAATGAGGAACGTAAACGTAAAGCAACACATCCAGATGCACCCGAACTGAGAACTGAAGAACAACAACTGGAAGATAAGAGGGTAATTTATATTTTTTTATTCTTATTTAGGAAACCATTATTATTTTAGCTTAAGGACTCTCGAATAAAATTCTTGTCATAAATATATGTAATCAAAATAAAATTTTAATCTTGTTTGTCACACAAATGTTTTGATGTATTAGATTAAAGTTAGAATCGTAACTTAATCATTCGAGTAAAATTCATTAATCATTATATATGTTTAACTCAAAAAATGTATAAATTTTATTACTTTTCAAATGACTAAATATTGAGATCTATCTCTCTTTGATTTAATAATATTAACTATTAGTATCCGTAAATCCGAACATAATTAATCATTTATTTAAAATAAAAGAATTTTTTTTTAATTTTAGTATACGTATTGTGTCGTATATACAGGGTGATTCATTAAGGATAAGACAATCATTTTCTCGGAATCTATTAATATTTTGAACAATATTTTTTTCCAAGATTTTTTGGTATACATTGTGCTATATTTTTCAATATTTTGAAAATTTGTATCCCCAATCTTTAAAGGCCAAAAAATGTCTACAAATGTATGTAATTAAAAATATATGTTGCCTTCAAAAAAAAAACTAATATCCCTCTTGTTGGCCTTCAAAGATTGGTGATAAAAATTTTCAAAATATTGAAAAATATAGCACAATGAATACCAAAAAATCTTGGAAAAAAATATTGTTCAAAATATTTATAGATTCCGAGAAAATGAGTGTCTTATCCTTAATGAATCACCCTGTATAGTAATGTTTAGATTTACTTATACATAAATTATTAATTTGGTTACTAAATTTGGTTCTCCTATCCCCCCAAAAAAAAACATAAATCAAATTTATACAAGGTGATCATTTTATCGTGAACCACTCAATATCTCATTAGGTTTAGTTAGTAGCTGAACTTTTTTTTGTTATTGTTTTTATATAATGTGATGTAAATTTTCCGTAAAATATCCTTTATTTAAAAAGTTAAATATAAAATATATTACATTTAAGTTTTAAAAGTTGTTATCAAAAAAAATAGTTTTGGTGGGAGATAAAAACACTATGGAAAACAAATTGCAAATTCTTATTAAGCCTTTAACAAACATAAAAAAGTATATTTAGTCTATGCGTCTTAAAATTATATAATCAGTTTTTTATGGAATTATCTTTGTGTTGATTAACAATTTTCAGACAATAGAAAAGGCATTCGAGAATTGTATAAAATGGATGAGCTTGAAAAACGGTTACATACATGAAAATATTTCAGAACATGTTTATTACAGATATATGGGTGACAACCAAAATGATTGGGATTTCATAGAAAATTACTATCTAGTTTTTGTACCAAAAGAGAAAGAACATTGTAAGCATTAACTACACATGTAACATATATTATAGAATAATTTTTTTTACCTTCGGTGCGAAACTGTAAGGCAGTTGATTTTAAGAAAATTATACAATAGTCCGCATTTATACAAATTTAAACATATATATATATATATATATATATATACCATTTATACTGTTTTTTACAACATAACTCAATAATTATTCCATGTTATCAAACAGTGTATGCATCTTAAAATCGTTGAACAATTACCGTACGGAAGGCATAAAAGTGACCGAAAATAAAATATCATATATAATGTAACATTCTATTAAATATTCAACAAAACAAAAATTGCCTTTCCTTAGTTCGAACACAATTTTAGACCAATAAAAAAACATTATAAAAACAAAACTTTTTCAGCTCCATATCGAAGCTAAAATAAATTGTTTTATCGACAACGGCATATAATATTTTACAGAGTGATTTTTTTATCATGAACCGCTCAATATCTCATAGGGTTTAATAAGAATTTAAAATGTTTTTTTCATATTGTTTTTATACTATGACGTGATCTTAATATTTCAATTTTTTTTTTTACCCCCCCTCCCAACTTAGTATTTTTGTTAGCAACTTTTGAAACTTAAATGGTAACGTATACATTTTATTTTATTTTTAAATTGAGAACAATGTACTTAAATTGTTGACTGGTCGATAACCAGTTTCGGATAAATAAAAATTTTAATTTATTACTAAAAACCCTTTGAGATATTGAGTGTTTCATGACGAAAGAATCACCCTGTATATTAATTGTATTTTAATTCAAATTTTTTGTTTTAGATTTCATAGACTTAGAATTATTTACTAATCTTTTTATCAAGCATTGCCAAATATCAGGCAAACCAGTTAAAATTGTCGCTGAAGAAAGAGCAGCCGCAGTGAAAAAAAAGGACGTAAATGGTAACCCAGTGGATGCTTTAGAATTTGGAGTTGATCCAGACGGAGATGTCATGTCTGAGTAAACTAATACTTTATGTTATTTTGATTTTTTTAAAATCTCTAAGTGTTATTAAAAAAAATTTCAAAAATACAATATGTCATTACAACTTTAATAACTCCAAAGTCTGTTTCTTTACAAATAAACACTTATTACTTGCTATTTGTACAATATTATTTTAATTTATAAGAAAAAAAATGACTACAATTATCTTAGTATTAATTTAAAAAGGAACAAATTTGTGCAAAAAGTCAATAGTTGTAGCATTATTAAGTACAACAACTACATCATGGTTAATACAACTCATTACGTTACCGTTTTCTTTTAAATTATAAAACAGCCAAATGTTGGATTCCTCTCACTGATGCTCTGCCTCAAAATTTACAAAATATAATCTACTCATTTCTAAATCATGATAAATAAAGCAGCTCGTTTGAATATAGTCTATAGTGAGGTTAGTCATTACAATTTAGATGTTGATAATTTTTGACAATATTATGTCTTTGCTATGGCACACACACGGAAAATCGACACCGGTTATCATAACGAAAAAATCTGCTGATTTATCTGATAAGATAAGAGATAAGAGATATGGGTTACAATGGTAATTGTAATGGGGTTGGGGTAGGGAAAGGGATGTTAAATATTTTGTTGTTTTCACAACGAACAAACTCAAACGAATGGTTAATGAATTGATTCAAAATAACTAGCCAAGTGAATGTTTTGCCAATAAATTGATTACGGGCAATTATTATTAAAAAACTTTTGGCCACAACATAAAATTAATCATCACCTACCATTCGAGTACCGTGGTTACCATTGTCACAAACCAAGTGTTCATTTTGGGTTAGCAACGAAATATTGATTTTGTCTAATCTAAACGGTTGAAAATTTTTCATAGTGTTTTTATATATAATATAATCTCAATTTTCCACAATTTTTTAAAATTATTTTCTGGATAAATTAGTTAATTAATAAGTCAGTGCATTTGAGAGAATTCTTAGATACCTTTCAAAATAAAAGTGAGTAAATGAGGTCTGTAGGTAGTGTTTATAGTGTTTAGACATTTTTGTTGTTGTATGTTCTGGAAAAGTGTTAGTGTGGATTTTTTATCATTATTAACACGGGCAAAAGTTATGATATTCTGATAAAAAAAAAGTATCCTCGAAAATATTATTCTAATAAATGTACGAAATAAAATGTCGATTTATTGCAAAAACTTGAATGATATCTTTAAAAAAAATTAAAAAACAAAACAAAATTGGCTCTAAAGCATTTTCTGGATAGAGGCATACCTAATTAATATTCTTTAAAAATGTCGACTCTATCCGACCGGTTTTCACGAAGATTTTTCAAATAAAATTTGTTAATTAAAAAAGTTTCTTCAAAACTGCTAAATTAAAGTTCTAACTGCTAATATAAGCTTTTCACTTTTTTAATATCTACATAAATGTCACATAAAAGTTTTCGGTAAACTTTTAGTTTTTGGATGACACCTTGCACGTAGCCCACACTGCATACAGCGTATCTTATTGCACTGTATCAAAGTCATCGACTCGGTACGGCACAGGTCTCGTACTATCGCCGTCTTGCCAAGGTAGCAGCGTTTTGATGAGGCGTTCAAGAATGCTATAAAATGGGTAGGCTTAAGTTACGAAAGGACAGGTGGGTGTCTTGCAGTTTTTTATTATTACTCGTACATGGGCTACAAAGCAGAAGATTGGAATTTCATAAAGCTGTAATATAAATAAACCTACTGCTCCTTCGTCCGGACACAAATTTAAACAAAAAAAAAAAAACACACCACTATAAAAACAATATAATTTCAGCAGTACAGTAAAGTACAATACATAATTACTTACTGAATTTTTGGACATTTTTTTTTTGTCTATACTGAGAGTGTGTATTTTTTCACAATGGGCAAAAGTTATCATCATATATAGAGGTAGAAAATAATATACTGTGGAGTTAGTTGTTACAATACATTTAATTATTTAATTTTACCAAAACTATTTTCTGAATAACGTAATTATATTTTAATGAGTAATTTCTTAGCTACCTTTATTATAAAAGTGTGTAAGTAAGGGAAGTTCAGTGCTCACAGCTAACAATTTTAGATTTCGGCCAAATTAAGTACATTTCAGATATGATTTCTATACAATAGAGTTGATACACAAACAAAGCAATCGGTTCAGAAGTTGAAAAGATATCGTGGGTGCAGTTACAAAAAAATAAATAATAACACATCGTTGCAAATATAATACCTCTTTTAGGTGGAATAATTTTCATTTTCGTCCTTTCGGAAAATTACAATACATATTTACTAACTGAATTTTTAGAAATTTATTTTTCTCTGTACTGGGAAAATAAGAGTGAATTTTTTATCAGTATTAACAAAGGGCAAATGATATGATAGTCTATAAAAAAAAAGTGTCCTCAGTAATATTATTCTAATAAATGTACAAAATTATTTGTTTATTTATGGCGAAAAAATGATAAAGCGTTTGAGTGGTATATAGTTCAAAGATGAACCTTTTTTATAATCAGTAACTAAAAAAAATGTAACAGATATGCCAATTTTCTGTAAAATTTAAGATAAAACACTTATACACCTTGCTAAAAACATCGGTATGTTAGTATGGTTTTTACTACAACAGATACACTCGTGTACTTATTTACATATTTGTGCAAATATGCAATTTATATAATAATGCCAAGTCTAAAAAATTCAGTAGATATCATATTTTATACACTTATATACTCGTAGAATTTTTTTTTTATATTCTTTATAAAACTGGCGTTTAAAGACGGTGAAATTCATTCGTTTTGTCTCGCAGTTTAACTTCAGATATTACACTACAGACTAGCACAATGTTTTTAAAGTTCTCTCTTTCGTTTCTATTGCTTATCCTAGCGGTTAGCTGTATGAATGAGGAACGTAAACGTAAAGCAACACATCCAGATGCACCCGAACTGAAAACTGAAGACGAAGAACTGGAGGATAGGATAGTAATTCATACTTTTATTCTTATTTAGGAAACCATTATTATTTTAGCTAAAAGACTCTCAAATAGAATTCTTGTCATAAATATTTGTAATCAAAATAAAATTGTTATCTTGTTTGTCACACAAATGTTTTGATGTATTAGATTAAAGTTAGAAACCGTAACTTAATCATTCGAGTAAAATTCATTAAATTCTGGTTAACCCAAAAGATGTATACATTTTACTACTTTATAAATTACTAAATATTGAGATCTATCTCTCTTTGATTTAATAATATTAACTATTAGTATCCGTAAATCCAAACATAATTAATCATTTATTTTTTAAATTTAAGTATACGTGTTGTGTCGTATGTATAATAATGTTTAGATTAACTTAAATATAAATTATTAATTTGAATACTAAATTTTGTTTTCCTATCCCCCCCCCCCCCAAAAAAAAAAAACATAATTCAAATGTATACATTTATTTATACGAGTTGATCGTTTTATCGTGATTCACTCAATATCTCATTTGGTTTTAGTAAGTAGCTGAACTTTTTTTTGTTATTGTTTTTATATAATGTGATATTAATTTTTCGTAAAATATGCTTAATATAAAAAGTTAAATAGAAAATATATTTCATTACCATTTAAGTTACAAAAGTAGTTATAAAAAACATTTGTTTTAGAGGGGATAAAAACACTACGGAAAACAAATTACTTTCTTATTTAACCTTAAACAAACATAAAAAAGTATATTTAGTCTATGAGTCTTAAAATTGTATAATCAGATATGTAATGGAATTATCTTTGTGTTGATTAACAATTTTCAGACAATAGAAAAGGCATTCGAGAATTGTAAAAACTGGATCGGCATGAAAACCGGTTACACACATGAACTTATTTCAGAGGATGCTTATTACGGGTACATGGGTGACAACCAAGATGATTGGGATTTCATAGATAATTACTACCTAGTTTTTGTACCAAAAAAGAAACCAGAACATTGTAAGCATTAATTACACATGTTACATATAATATAGAAATATTTTTATTTTACCTTCGGTGCGAAGCTGTAAAGCAGTTGATTTTAAAGAAATTATACAATAGTCCTCATTTATACAAATTTAAACATAATATATATATATATATATATATATATATATATATATATATATATATATATATATATATATATATATATACCATATATAATGTAATACTCTGTTAAATATAAAACGAAAAAAATTATCTTCCCTTAGTTCGGACACAATCATAGACAATTAAAAATAACAGTTATTTTATTTAATTCGGGGTTTAAGTTTGTTTAATCTTAAATTAATTACACTCTTTATTTTTATTAATTTTTTTTTTGAACACATTGAAACTAAAATACCTAAAAATAATTATCACAACAAATAAAAAACTATTGAAGAAAAAAAATATAAAACGAATTGTAACTTGTAAGTTATAACACATTAACATGACATATTTCATCAAACTTTTAATCCGATTCCAGTTGTTATTTGAAAAACAAAAATGTTATCTAGTCTGCGTTTCTTCATTACTGAATTTAAAGATATTATTCGTTTAGGTTAGGAGTAGTATAGGTAGCTACTTTTGTAATCGCGTTGTATTGAAAACCAAGTTGGCGCAAGTGCTCGCGTATATATCCAGAATAAGAATTCAGTGTGCTTACATAAAAATCGTAGAGGTTCATGATGGTAGTTAAGTTTCTATATTCAGCCACTAACACCTCGGTATTGACGACACTGTGTGCAGGATAGCAGTCAGTGTTTAAAAGGGTCTCCAACGAATTTGCAACGGACATGACAGGCCAGGTAAGCCCTTGCATCTGGAGACATAGTTGTATTATTTCCATTGGTTCGTAAAATGGACTTGGAACGACACTCGAGTCAAAAGAATGGAGTAACCTGAATATGCCCAACAAGTTGGACATGACGGACGCACCTGTTTCGACACTAGTTCTTAGCTTACTCCAACAGTCTTCAGCGACAAACTTTTGTCGAATTCCGTT